ACTAGCCTCGAGAAATTGGTATCGTATCTCGACAAGAGTAAATTGACAATCACGCGATCGGAATTTCTCAATCTTAACACCAAGGATTTTGATCTGCTTACGCGTAAAGGAGTGTTTCCGTACGAGTATGTCGACAGCTGGACGAGACTAGTTTGCCGCTGCGCGAGTCGTTTTACAGTTCGTTAACCGACGAGGTCGTTTCCGATGACGATTATCACACACGCGACGAACGTTTGGCGACGCTTTTGCATAGACTCTCGGTGATTACAGCGATTTGTATCTCAAGAAAAGCACGGATGTGCTTTTATTGGAGGACGTTTTCGAAAATTTTCGTGATACGTGTATTGAGAGTTACGGATTGGATCCGACGTATTATTACACTTTACCGGGATACACGTGGGACGCTATGTTGAAATACAACGGTATGGCTATGTTTGTGGAGCGTGGTATACGCGGTAGTTTAAGTCAATGTCCGCATAGGTATGCGCGAGCTAATAACAAGTATGCACCTTCGTACGATCCTTCGAAACCCTCGACGTACCTCATGTACTTCGATGTGAATAATTTGTACGGTTGGGCGATGTCCGATTCGAATCCTTACCGTACGGAGAATTTCAGTGGGTCGATGACGTCGAGCGCTTTGACGTAATGACTATGTTTACACCGTGCATTTAGTCCGCGGCCTATACAATAGACGTCCTTGTTTATCCTGTATATTAAACAAAGCCACCTATCGTATAGGTCGCGGACTAAGCGCACGGTGTAAACGTAGCCAATGTCTGTGTCGTCAGACTCCGTTATTGGTTATATTCTAGAAGTCGACCTTGCGTATCCGCAATAAGCGTTTATGACGCTCATGTTGACCTTCCATTCTGTCCCACTCGCGAACGGCCTCCTGGAAAACGAAATGATAAACTGGCTACACTCTACGATAAGGAGCACTATGTCACGTACTATCGCAATTTACAACAATGCATTCAGCACGGATTATACGTGAAAAAAATTCATCGAATATTACAATTCGCACAATCCCCATGGCTTCGCGGATACATCGAACTCAATACGAGATTCAGAACGCTCGCGAATAACGAATTTGAGAAGAATCTTTACAAATTGATGAATAACGCGGTATTTGGAAAAACAATGGAGAACATACGCGATCATGTTGACGTTCAACTCGTAACGCGTTGGGACGGGAGATATGGTGCGGAAGCGATGATAGCGAAACCGAACTTTCACAGCAGAAGTGTCTTTTCCGAAGATTCGTTGAAATGCGCAAACTCGAGGTAAAATTGAACAAACCGATATATGTAGGTATATGCATTCTCGAAATATCCAAGATGCGTCTGTATGAATTTCACTTACACAATGCCGTTGTATCGCGATAAGTGTAACATCATGTACACGGATACTGACAGCTTGATATATCTTTGGGAGTGTGAAAACATATACGAGAACATCAAGCGTGATATCGCGAGATTCGACACGAGCGATTCCAAGCGTTAATACCAAAATACCCGGTTTGATGAAAGATGAAAATAACGGTGCGATTACGACGGAAGTAGGACTCAGAGCGAAGATGTACGCATTGAGAGTGATCGGAAGGAGCGATACGAAGAGAATAAAGGGTGTTAAGAAAAACGTAGTCGCGAAAACGATCACTTTCGACGATTACATGCGGTGTTTGAATGACATAATGGAACAGCTGAGACGGCAGTCGTGCATACGATCGACATTGCACGAGGTCTACACGGTGTCTGAATTGAAACTCGCTCTCAGTCCGTATGACGATAAGCGGTACGTTGTACCCGATTCGGTCACTACTCTACCTTGGGGACATTATAAAGTACCGTTGTAATGTGTGTGACACATCTTTTTATTATAATAAAAACTTATAATAAAAACAAAATTTACAATACATTCGTTTTATCTATCCAAGAATTATGCGAACTGTTCATTCCCAACCATTTCACGTACACTTTATTTCCTCGTTTGTGTAGTATTTTTTCCACGAGATAAACGTCAGAATTGGAGATTCGTTGTAATTCGTGTTCGTAAAATCCACCAGCTATTGGTTTTCCTTGATAATCTTTTAAGTGATACTTTGCTGGATTCGTATGTCGTATTTTAACGATGTAGAAAACCTCGGTGGATCAATTAGGTGTGTAGCCTTTTTCAAAAATTGTTTTGAATTTATTAATACGTACTGAATCACTTGTTTTGAATTTCGTTGGGGCGGCAATTTTTACGTGACTGTATACCGTTGATAAGAGGCGGTAACTCATTGATCCATCTGTACGAGCCGTTTAACGTAAATAGTTTCCACATGTTATTCTTGAGTGTGCGATTGAATCGTTCCACTACCGACGCTTTCATTACCGAGTACGTCGAATAGTGATTTATGTTGCGCCTCTGCACAATTTTTTGCACAGTGGAGTTGTAAAATTCCTTTCCTTGATCCGTCTACAGGTTTCGCGGGTATCGTTCATCTTCGCGAAATATTTTAGATAACGCTGCGGCTACGTCCCTTCCGTTCTTGCTCTTGAATGGTAGTGCCCATGCGTATTTACTCAAAACATCGATAACTGTTAAAATGTAATTGTAACCTTTGTTGAATCGTGCGTAAGAACGCATCTCGACTACGTCAGCCTGCCACAAATCGTCGCGACCGCGTACCATAACGCGACGATGTGGAAAATTTCTTCGCCCGAGTGCGTAGAGTTCTTCCACGAGTTTTCGTTTCTCGACATTCATCTCTCTCTCTATTATGACAGGGAGAAGCTTGTGCGCACATCTTTTAAACCTTCCTATCTTTCTACAGTTCATCCCTAGATACCTTTTTTGAGTTTAACTTATTCGAGCTGAGTTTAAATACCTCATCCGATAGCGAGCTTATACTTTTAAAGAGTTCTTCCACATTGTTCCACAATTTCGAGATGTCCTCCTCCGTATCTTGAAGCGCGCGCGCAATCATGTCGTTCCCCGTCGTCTTCAATGATTTCTCAATCATGTCCGGCACTGTTTTTTCCAACTCTTTAGTCGTCACCACACCTTGAAGCGTGCGCGCAATCATATGGTTCCCCGTCGTCTTCAATGATTTCTCAATCATGTCCGGCACTGTTTTTTCCAACTCTTTAGTCGTCACCACACCTTGAAGCGCGCGCGCAATCATGTCGTTCCCCGTCGTCTTCAACGATTTCTCTAACGTCTCATTCGTCACCATATTATCCATTTGTAGATGCAGATCGGTTACACCTTAAGTCAGATGCAAAATCTCATTAGACACTTTCGTCGATAGCGTGCTTACACTTTTCGAGACTTCTTTCACGTTGTTTTGCACATTCTCCACATCGCTATGCATTTTCGAAATGTCTTCCTGCGTATCTTGAAGTGCGCATACGATCATATCTCTCCCTGTCGTTTTGAATGATTTCTCTAACGTTTCATTCGTCATTACATTTTTCATTTGTAGGTACAGATCGGTTACATTTCCATTCAGACGTGTGATAGCAGCGGACACCTTCGTCACGCTTTTCGCTATTTCTTTCACGTTTCTTCGTATTTTCTCCACATCGTTGCGCACTTTCGAGATGTCTTTCTGCGTATCTTTCCTTATCGTTCTAAATGATTCCTCGATTTCGTTCCACAAATTTCGAAGCCTGCGTTCGATGTAGCTTTTGTTTACCAGGGCCGGCTTTAGACTATGTGCGACGGTGCAGCGCACGCGGCCCCGCGTTTTGATCAGCCCCGCGTTTTACTTATTGTAACGACATGACGAGATAGAAAATAGTTAGATCTCTCTGGATCTCTCACTTCCACACGTGCGGATAAGATTAAATCTGTTCTTTATTCCTGCACCGTGTGCACCAGTTCAGACAGTGCAGGAATAAAGGAAAGACCTATTGGTTAGGAACGCGCGGCAAGCGTTTCCGCGTCCAGTGTATAGGAGCCATAAGTGGGAGCGAATTTACACTGTTTCCGACGCTTTGCCGTCCAGTGGCGAAATAAATATTTTTTACGCCACTACTCATATCGCCTCGCTAATTGGTTGCTGCTTCCGCTGCTTGACGCTTGACGGTTGCATGTGAATGCACCTTAATGCAGTCTAGTGCAGGAACAGAAAACAGACCGAATGTCAACAATGACAACTGAATATGCCAATCAGATGAAAGAGCTCACTGACTGAGCGCTTAGTGAGCGGTTGTTCTGAATGTATCTAATATGTAATATTAAATATATGGTTGTGATATACGATGAGTAATGATTGTAGTTTGTAGAAAAAGTAAATACTATTTAAAATAGTCTATTTTAAACAGAAGAAAAAGATTCAATATTGTTTATAAGAACAACTAAGGATAAGATCATCATGAGAGAAAGAGATATTGGAAGAAAATACGTAAGTGGCGCAGAAAAGGAGAGGAAACGCAAAGCTCAAGAAGAATTTATTAATAGTCAAAAAGGATCCATGCATAAATTTCTGAAAAGAGATAATATTAATACAGAAGAAAACAAGCCTACTCAAGAAACATCTGGTACACATTTGCAAAATGATGAACTTCTAAAATATACAGATAACAATAATGTAAGTGTTACTACACTAAAAACAAAAGTAATTTAAAATAATTTAAAATAATTATAAATAAAGTTATAGTTTTTATATAAAGTTTTTAATATTGATAATGGCCCAATAGAGGTCGAAACGTTTGTTTAATGTTCAAATGTTTTTTTGTTGATTAAATATTTTTGGCTCGTAGTCTTTGAATTTTAATTAATTTAAAAAAAATTTTTGCAGAATAATGTTTGCAGGAAAGGAAGAAAAAATATTAACTGAATACATAGATGAATATCAAAAACTTGAGGATATAGCCACATGGCCAGTAAATCTCACGGTAGCTGAAAAAAATTTTTTAATGGAAAAAGTACCCCCTAAAATTTGTTTGAATTATTTTCCAAAAGATCATAAAAATAGAAACTTTTCGGAAGTATATTACACAAGGAAAATGAGCAATGGTGAGGTAATTGATAGACAATGGTTAGTGTATTCAAAGGAGAAAAATGTTATCTTCTGTTTTCCCTGCAAATTATTTGAAAGTGGATCAGGCCAGCTTGAAACACATGGATTTAATGATTGGCAGCATACATCCGAGAAATTAAAACGACACGAAGTATCCAAAACACACTTTAAAGCAATGGATACATGGACTGAAGCTCGTTTTAGAGCTATAAATCATTCTAATGTTATTCATTTGTCTGAAAAACTTTATATTAAGGAAAAACAGAAATGGAGAAATATTTTGGAAAGACTAATAGCCATTATTCAATATCTAGCCGAACATAATATGGCATTAAGAGGTTCATCTGATTTGCTGAATACACCAAATAATGGGAATTTTTTAGGCCTTGTAGAACTGGCTCGGTATGATTCTATCCTAATGGAACATGTAAGTTATGTTAAAGTAGCAAGACATGGAGTTACCTATTTAAGCAAAGATATACAAAACGAACTTATATCTCTGATGGCTAATCGAATTAGAAATACTCTGATCGATCGAATAAAAGCTGCTAAGTATTTTTCTGTTATTTTGGATTGCACCCCAGACACTTCTCATGAGGAGCAACTTTCCTGCATCATACGATATATTTATATACACAACGGTGAAATACAAATATGTGAAAGTTTTACTGGGTTTTTGGTGGCTAAAGATACTAGCGGATTAGGATTGGCTACAACTCTAAAACAACATCTGAATGACTGTGGACTTGATTTTACAAACTGCAGGGGACAAGGATATGATAATGGAGCAAACATGAAAGGATTCAAATCCGGTGTGCAAGCCCAACTTTTACGAGAGAACCGAAAAACTTTTTTTACACCATGTGGCTGTCATAATTTAAATCTCGTGTTGGCAGATATTGCTAACGTTTCTCCGAAGGCTGTTACATTTTTTGGTGTAATTCAACGACTTTACACATTTTTGTCAGCTTCTAACTATAGATATGATATAGCTAAGAAACATTTAAAACTTACACCAAAAACACTATCTGGGAAAAACACTACTCGATGGGAATGCCGCGTAGAAAGTGTAAAAGCTGTACGGTTCCAAATCAAAGAGTTTGTACAAATATTTGAAGAAATTTTAACCGAACCTAAAGATGCGAAAACTTATAGCGAAGCTACTTCTTTATTGAAAGAAATTCAATCTTTTCCATTCATATTATCAACTATTATATGGTATGAATTACTTGTAAAAGTTAACAGAGTAAGTAAAATACTTCAGCAAACGGATATGCAAATGGTTGTGGCTATATCATTTCCTGATAATCTACTCAAAGAATTATCAACTTTTAAAGGATATGCAAATGGATGTGGCTATATCATTTCTTAATAATCTACTCAAAGAATTATCAACTTTTAGAGAAAATGGATATCACGAGTGTATGAGAACTGCGAAAGTTATTGCAGAAGAAAATAATATAATTCCTCATTTCCCTCAAAGACGAGTTGCTAGATCAAAACGACAATTTGATTATGAAAGCGTCGATGAGTCAATAAAAAATGAAGAACAATTCCGCATAGAATATTTTCTCCTCGTTACCGACCAAGCCATTGAATCATTTAAGGAACGTTTTAAGCTGTACGAAGATCTCAGGAATAACTTTGGATTTCTCTATAATTTCAAAAAAATAAAAAATTTATCTAAAGAAGACTTGTTAAAAAACTACAATAACTTCCATATTCTTTTACAAGATGGATAGATTTCTAATATAGATGGAACAGATCTATTTGAAGAATTGCTATCTTTTATTCAAGTAGTTCCAGAAAACAATCAAAGTCTTTTAGATATACTGAAATACCTGATTGAATTAAAACTAAATCTAATCTATCCAAATATTTATATTGCGATTAGAATTTTATTAACTCTACCAGTAACAATTGCTAATGCTGAAAGGAGCTTCTCAAAATTAAAACTGATAAAAAACTACTTACGCTCAAATACATCGCAAGAAAGACTAGTGGGACTGATTCTTGAATCAATGAAGACTAGCGATGATGTTAATATTTTCCAATGTGATTAACAAACTTTGCTTCAGCAAAAGCGAGAAAAATTTGTTTTTAAGATTATTTTATCTTCAAAGGTTTTATTATCAAAGATTTTATTACAAATTTTATTATAAAACATTAAACTTTCAAGTTTATTTTATTTTATGTTATTTTATATTTATTTTATATATTTGAAATAATTATGATTTAAAATAAATTATTTCATTTTCAAGAATCAGTCCCGCATTTTTATGCACCCAGCCCCGCATTAACTAGAGCCGGCACTGTCAGTTTACCACGTCGGTGTCAAACTCCGGTGCGGCTACGTGTTTTATTTTTCGTTCCTTCGCGTCGTAGTGATCCTGATTCAGACAGAGCCCACTGTCGTGTATGTAATTCCGTAAAGATTCGATCGACGATCGCGACCTTTCGATTTCGTCGATATCATCTCTCCTCATAGGCATACCAAATTTATTCACAGACATCATATCGAGCTCGCACGAATTTGACTACTGTCGCAGTTTTCGTCGCAACGATTCAATTTATAATCAACCCAGCTTCGCGAAGTTCTTCAAGTATCGACAATATCTCGTTATCGTGAGCGTTGTTGCCTGCTTGACGAGAAGCATCGAGCAACTGAAGTCGATCTACCAGTTCGTTAGGATCGTCCCAATGAACGTAATCTATTTTGTTATCATTTAATCTCATAGTGGATGGTACACCCGAACCTGTACTCGTACTACCGGTTCTGTGAGCACCTACATCTGTGAGCAGCCACGAGCGGACCGATGATGTGTTTGTATTTGTGTCCCTTGTTACTTTTAACAGGCATTTCAACGTTATGACGACGTCTGTACGCATTCGTTGTCAGCAATATACTTTTATACGTTTCTTTATTCTTCTCGGTGTAGATAGCATCGTCGAGAATTCTCTTGAAGATTAACTCTTACAGGCCCGATGTACCTTTGTATTTTACCACGTCTACGATTATGGTGTCGCCCGAATCTACGTCGAATTTTTTATCACCCAGCATCGTACCGTTTTCATCGAAATAAACACCGAATACGTGATCAATTTCGTTCTTTTTATCACCACTAAGGAGAGCATTCACGTATATTTGTCCCAACCGTCCTAACTGGCTGTGCAACCTCTCGCGACCTTACGGTGTCTTTAGAACCTGTCTGACAGACGTTTCAAGTGATGGATCATCACCGATGAAGACTTCCTCATCCTGCGGGGATAATTGTTGCGATTCTATCGGCGTGGAATGGACCATCGACATGATGTTCAATTGTTTTGTTCGTTTGTTCCATGGAGGACGCTGCGGTGTAATCTGTGTGGAAATTTCGTCGTCGTCGTCGTCGTCGTCATGCTCACGTTTATTTTTTCGCTTCTTCTTAATAATACCGGTTGATTTATCTCGTTCGGTGTTTTCAACGATTTGTTTCAACGGTTCCACGATCGTTTTTCCAACGCCATCTCATTCTCCATCATACCGGTCTTTAATTCTCTGTGTTTCTTACGAATCGACGCGCGCGTCTTTGCGATTAGTTTCGCCGTTCTCTCCCGTTCGACAATGCTTTTCGTACTGTCCATCTCACTGTAACGTCGAAGAAACACTGCTCATTTTACAGTACGGTGAAATCGTCAAATTCTCGTCTGTATCGTATCTACCGTTACGCAATGCGCTATCCTTGTCTATCACCACGAAACCATGTTTACGTTGCCAACATAGGTGACACAGCGCGCAAAATTTCTCGTACGGCATATCGGTGTTCACGTGATCGTTATAGATGTGTTTTAGGTTGGTACCATCCTGTTTGAACAGAATCAAAAGATTCGCATTGTCGCGTATCAAATGTTTTGGTATTTTTGCATATGTTTGACAAAGATAGAAACGATCGATGTTCGCGTGTCAACCTATAGCGAAGTATTCCCTGATAGTGTTCTGCTTGTCACAGATCACATCGTCGAATACGAATATCGAATTGGGAAGCGCCTCGTTGGGTGGTATAACGTCACGATTGTTGGAGAATGCGTAGTAGCCGATTTCGCTTATTGATTCGAGCAATTCTTCAAGATAACGATGTAACAACCTAACTTTATGCTCGGACGTAGCTCGTCGGAAATTTGCGGTCCAGGGCTTAAAGAGGTTCGAATGGCAAGGGGAAGATGCAACGGTTGCGGTGG